CCATCCATCCATCCATCCATCCATCCATCCATCCATCCATCCATCCAAAATTTAGGGCCCCAGCTTCATGGATGAGCTCAGAAGGGTCCTGTGTTTAGTTTAACGCTCTGCCGTCACCACCTTGAAATCCTTAACGCCCTTTTGAGCAAGGGACCTCGCATTTCTGTTTTGCACGGGGCCCGGCAGATCGTGGTGCTGGCTCCGAAGCCGTTTCTGCACTGGCTGCGATGATGGAGCCTTGACTCATATCGAAAATCCCTGCGGAACAGAAGGCCCGGAAGGCAAGCAAGCTGAGGCCAGGCATCACGGTGTAGCCAAGCGCCCACCCGGCGGTGGAACCTTTAACAGCTGGCCTGGACCCCTCGTCCGAGTCCCCTCTAAGCAGCCCCTGCACTGTGTGCGTGTGTGTGTTTTAAATAAGTCTTTATTGATTTCAGAGAGAGGGGGGGAGAGAGAGAGAGAGAAACATCCATGATGAGAGAGTCATGGATCGGCTGCCTCCTGCACGTCCCCCGACCGGGGATCGAACCCACAACCCTGGCGTATCCGGACGACCCTCTAACCAGCTGAGCCACCCGGCCAGGGCCTGAAGAAACATTTCTCGTTAAGGTTTATTTTTCGTCCCGTCCTATGAACTTGAAAAGGGGAAGCAAGGTTAGAGCCGCGCCCGCCTTTGGGTTTCTGGCCGGCGTCTCTTCCGCGGCTCTCGCTGTTCCTTAGCGAGAGCCTCTCCCCACCAGGAGCTTTTGGGTCGTTTAGACTTTTTTCCTGTGGAGTGGAGAAACCTCCGGTGAGTCATTTCACACAGGGCCACACACACAGGATAGAGAACCTGCTTTAGGAACCCATTTTTATTGACATAAAGCTACGAAGGAGCAGCCGGGGAAGAATAACTGGGAACGGGATTGAAAGCACAAGTGCGGCCTTTCACAAGCTTCTCTCCAGAGGGTATACGGGTCCTCGATGCCGGTAAGACTCCCGGCTTCAGTGCTCCCCAGGCGGCTGGGGAGCAGGAGGTTCAGGTGGTCACAGTGCAGCAGCTACTTAGGGGGGCTCTGAACCCCGAAGGAAATTACTTACGTGCCTCCGTGGGTTTGGTTTTTTTTAACATGTGAAGTATGTTAATATAAAAAGCCATAATATCGAGACCCTTACCCGCCACCCACTGTGCTTAATGCTTTCCCTGCACTTACTGACTCACTCATTCAAATATTCGCTGAGCACCTACTAAGCGCAGCCGCCCTTCCAAGCGCCGGGGTGTAACGGCGAGCAGAGGCCCCGCGCCTCAGGACCTTAGCTTCGCCGAATCTGCCCAACGCCCTGCCGACCGCGATATAGGCGTCACTCCCGTTTGAGGAGGAAATTAAAACTGCAAGTGGTTAAGTAAAATCACACACACACCGCCCCCCACTGCGCATCTGGTGGGCGGTCGGGCTGGGATTCCCGCTTTGATTCATCTCACTTCCTACAGCCCCAGCTTTCGGCCACTGGGCCGCGGAAACGCCCGGAGAGGGGGGCGCGGGTGTCGGAGGCCCAAGAACAACGACGACGACGACAAAGCGGGTGAGGTCCTGAAGCGCGGAGGGCCCCGCGGGAGCCTGGGAACCTGGACACGGAGACGCAGGGAACCGGTCGCACTGTGCGTGCCGCTCGAGAGCCCGGCTCAGGCTGGCCTGGCGTCTGTCCCCGAATCCAGGGCCGAGCGGCCGGTCATCTCGCAGACTCGGAGCCGGGGGCTCTACGCGGGGGAAACTCCCCTGCGTGAGGGACACTTGACCTTCCCCTCCTGGCTGTTTGTCGACAGAAACTGCTCTACAAACTGTACTGAAAGGATGAAGGTCACTAACCCCCCCACCTCCCCTGAGCCCCCCCCAAAAAACCCCACTTTACTGCCCTATTAGAGTTGACTAACCACCTTCCAGGTAAAGGGACACAGCACAGTGCCGGGCACACAATCCGGGTTCAGCAAATACCGTGGAACAAACGAAGGAAGGGCTTCGACGGGCAGTCTCGCAACAGGCAGGCAGAAGCAGTTACGCTTGGCCTGGCACCTCCCAACAGCCA